GGTGAGGAGGAGGGGAAGGGGAAATAAATAGGATAAAAACGCACCACGTGTGGGAGCCTAGCAACCTAAATGAATATAAATGTTACATGCCACAACATGAACTAAGATTAATAACATGAACACCAATGACAATCAGGGTAGGGGAATTAGGGTAGGAGGAGGGAGGGGTTTACAAAAAGAAACAAGCTGTAGTCTACACATGTAACCACTCCCCAAGGTGACTGCAAACAGCATGAGCCGCAAAGATGTACTAATAAAAAGAAAATTTTAAAAACTAAACTCGAGGGCTGGTAAAAACAGAACATAAAAGGCAATAACTATGCAACAAAATAGTTGTGATGAGAAAATCGCTCCAGCGCAAATAGAAGCATGAGACTCCTGCTCTTCTATGATCTTTACGTGAAGTCTCATTTAGCATTTCTGCCAGTTATTTTTCTAAGGAGATGAACTATCTTATTAGCCATCTAAAAATATCGAAGAATAAAATGGTTAATGATTTTTATAAGTCCCCTTCCCCAGGAAAGAGAATAATTTACACAGTTACATCCGCTACATTGATCTTATCTCTGTGGCCGCTTGAGTAACATCTGTTAAATGACCCAAGTCGTGCCCTGCGCCACCTTGGGAAGAGACTCAGAAATGTGAATTTCAGCGCATAGAAGGTGCTTTATCTCTCAGGAGAGGAGACACTGTGTTGTTGGCACGGACATTACGCAAAATGCCTCTGGGGAATTTTTTCTGAAATTCTTCTCCATCCCTCCTTCCCCCATCACAGGAAAACCAGGCACCCCCTGCCCCGCACCCAGCCACATTTAGGAGCAATTTTGCAGAGGTGGCCTTGCTTCTTACTTGGCCAACATTGCTCTCTAACCCAGAAATACTTTATTCAGTGGTAAAATTTAAAACGGATTTCCTGGCTAGCTGTCTGCCCCTTTCTCTAGGACTGCAGATCTTCGAAGATGATCTCTTGGATTCCTTCAAGCTCCCAAGTGTGTAACTCTGTTTTGTCAAATGGGCAAATGTATGCGTCTATCAAGTCCCAAATATTTCCCATTTCATTCATGAAATTAGCACATAAATGCTTGTTGAATGAGAGCTGAGTGAATTCATGAGTGCCCACCATGTTCCACCCGGGGAAGAGGCAGATAAGCAAGATGCCTTCTGCTTTCAGGAGTGGGAGGCAGATGTGTGAGTGGCAGTGTCATGTGGTTTCAATTTTTCAGTTAGTTTTACTTATTATACTAAAAATTTAATTTAGTGCCTGTTCTGTGTCAGGCACTGCCTTGTGCTGTTACACCATGGATTTTCTTACTTGCTTACAAAATAGGTATTATTGATCCGAAATCTGGCTGGCTTCTTTCCATGCGTATGTGATTCCTAAGTTATCCGTGTAGGACATGAGCTGTGCGAACTTTACTGACTTTAGAAAAGAAAATGAGATGTCCCTGTGATATGATCTCGTGAAGGACAAAAAATGTCTACATGCAGGCACAGACTGATGACTGTCAGTGTTTGTAAATATACTTTTTCTGTCAATAAGATTTTTCCTGATGATATTTTTCATAAGACTATGATGATGTCTTTTTAGCTTCCACAAAAAAGAAAGTACATTAGACATTGTTATATATACTTATGTTAAAATATTTTAACTACCTCCACCCATTTTTCTCATTGCTTTTCACACACAAATTTTGAAAGAAAACAAAATCCCCCTTTCTTTGTTATGGTGATAGTGGTTATGTTTTCCTCTGACTTTTGAGAAGAGTACAGGCATTTATCTGAGCCTAAGTTTCTGAGAAGGGGGCTTCAGAGAGTTTGCCTTTGATTCTGTATCTGTTTTGCAACAAGATCTCCAAGAGCTGGTAACACTGGAAAAGTTTCTTTGCCCACTTTAACTTTTTCAGAGTATATTTCTATCAAAAAATAGGCAGGCCCTATTGTCAAGGCTGTGTCTTGAAAGTATTTCCAAACTCCTTTCTTAGTCTTCACTTGACAAGTGCTGTCACAGGGCTCCATCACTCCTAGGCTAACAGCTACCAATAAACAGAAAATTATTTCCAACCAGCTAACACGCTGTTTACTTTCCAGAGAAATTGCACTTTCCAATCTGACAGTTGATCAAGGGGTATCCCACTGCTGTCAGCAGGGAGAAATGTTTAAACACAGAGATGGGAGTTTAAACATTTTCTCATTATCACAGAATAAGGGGGGAAAAACACAAATAAATAAATAAGTAAAAATCGCATCCAGACTCCCTAACCCCCTGCTGGGATCATAATGAAGCCAGGTCACGTGACCAGGAGGAGTGGGCTTTTATCTCTGGCCCCCAGGATCCTACTCAAGTGACACCTGTCACATGACCAAGCCTCAGTCTTTTATCTGCCTTCCCCAGCCACCCTTCTGGGGAATTGTCTTTTCCAGAGACATGCGGCCCACTGCAACCATTGTCATGGGCTCTCTTAGTGCTGTTAGCTGGTGTTTTGTGTCTCCTGCCTCAGAGCTCCTAGATCTTCCCCCAAACATTGTTTAAACATAATAAATTACAAAGTAATACAAAACCAAAAAACCACAAAGATCACGGAGTGGAAAATAATGCCAGTATTATATTTTATACGTTTGTGGAAATAGTCATCATTGGTCTCTAAGGATCCATGTCTATATTTTAAGCTTGGATCCTCAATTTTGAACCTGTTCATTAAAGAAGAGGGTCAGTGAACCCCGAGGACACCACATTACGAAGCACCTGTATCCGTAACTAGCCAGGCTCCCTAGAGCCACCTAGAGGAGCTGACTCTGGTGTCGGAAACCACTCATCTCATCCCCAAACCCAATCTAACTCTGGAAACTAAATCAGTCTTGTGTTGTTCTCCTGCCTTCCCTTGCCAGGAGAAACCCCAGGGTGTTTGTCACGTTTAACTCCTCTGCTCTTGTGTGCACCACCATCACCATTATCATCATCACCATCACTGCCACAATCACCACCATCACCGCTACCACCATTGCCATCACCATCACTTCCACCATTACCACCATCACCATCACCATCATCACCACCATCACCACAACCACCATCACTACCATCAGCACCATCACCACCACCATTGCTACCACCATCACTACCATCACTGCCACCACCACCACTACAACTGCCACCCCCCCTCATTACTAGTTGATTTTGGAGTGCTGACTGTGTGCCAGGTGTGTTTAAAACACTTTGACTGCATCAATTCCTTCCATCCGCACAGGCTCCTGGAGGAAGCTGCCGTTATCCTCTGTGCCTCACCAAGAATGTTTGCTTGAGGAGGAGAAGTTTGCTTGAGGTCACGTGGTTAGAAGCACAGAGCTGGAGCTGAACAAAAGCAGTCTGGCTCCTGATTCTGCAAGCCTGCTTAGTGGCCTTCTGATAATTTTGTGACTTTCTTTGTCTCCCTTCTCCCTGGACACCCTCACTTGTCCTCTCCCAGGCATGCATGAGCTTTTAGTCTTTTTTTTCTTCAATCTCTGAATCTTCACAAATTCATTCATTTCTTCATTTTTTTTTCCCACAAAAACTCCATAAGCATGGTTGCACAATTGCAGGAGTTTGCTGCATATTTCTGGGCAGAACACATCATAACCTGGTCCGGTCAGGCTTACTTCTCACAGGGGAAGACAGAAAATACACAGTAGATACGAAGCACTGGCACATCACGTGTGAGAAAAGAGCAAGAATGAATAGAATGTGGCTGAGGAGGAAGGGAGCGTGGGTTTGCAGCTGCTAACTAGTGGAAGACAGTAACGGAGGCCCTACTGTGTGCAAGGCTTAGACGCTGCAGGGACTTAATGAGCTTGATTTCTAGCAGAGAGAAAAACAGCAAGTATAATAAAAAGTAAGTCACAAATTTCTGAGCATGAAATCGAGCAGTGTGTGGCAGAGAAACAGAGCAATCTAAAGGAGAGCGGCATGAGGAGTCTTGCCTGTTCCTCCGGGGCTTCAGGAGGCTTCTCTGAAGGCTGAAGCAAACTCCAGCATCACGCATAGGCGACAGAATTGTGGTATGTTTGGGAGGAAGGGGCGCAGGCCGAGGGTGCAGCCGGACGCAGGTCTGGGAAGGGATCTTGCCTAATGTGCTTACAATTCCCTCCCCGTGGTTTATTTCCTCTCTTCTTTTTATTTATTTATGTATTTACTCATTGTTGTGCTGGTGACTGAACTCATGTTCTTCACACTGAGCTATATCCCCAATCTTTTTAAAAATTTTTATTTTGGGGCTGGGGATTTAGCTCAGTGGCATAAGCGCCTGCCTTGCAAGCAGGCAGTCATGAGTTCGATTCCTGGTACCGATAAAAACGAAAAAGACCAAAAAAAATTTTTTTGTTTTGATATAGGGACTCACTAGGTTGTTAAATTGCCTGGACTGGGCTCCAACATGTGATTCTCTTGCCTCAGCCTCTCAGAGTGTTAGGATTACAGGTGTGAGCCACCACACCTGGCCACATAAATCTCTCTTATACTAAATAAAACAAAAAACCTGCCCTTCCACTGTCCAGGTAGCTTTCCACCTCGTCCATCCTTTTAGGAAGGAATATCTCAACTAATCTTTTATGTCTTTATTAGCTCATTTTCTGTTATTTTAATAAAATGCCAGAGGCGAGATACCTTATGATGAAGAGAGGTTTATTGGCTCACGGTTTTGATGATTAGGGGAGCCAGTGGCATAGCATTGGTATCCTGGCAAGAGGACCCTGGATGGGTCACAACATGGCAGAGACAAGGAATGGGAGCCGCTGCCTGTAGAAGAGGCCAAGCACAGCTGCCCCATGTGACCCACGCACGAGAGCAGGAAGTCCCCTGGGAGACCAGCACAGAGCCCCTGATAGCAGCTCCTCCCAGGCCCTGCCTTGCACAGGTCCACCTCGAACCCCACAGCACAGGCACTGGGCTTTCCACACCTAACTAAAGCAGCTCCAACCCAGAATGCCCATTGCCTAAGATTAGGAAACCAAGATGTGAGCAATGCTTTAGTCTCATATATATGCTTTATTAGTGGGCAAATCCATTAATTGCAGGAGAAAAAAGAAGGAAATTCAAGCGTAATTTATTTTCCATTATAATTAAAGAAGATAATTTTGCTAGATTTTTTAAAAAGCCCTTTTATAAAAAATAAAACGAGTCTATCCTTGCAACAATAGAATCTCACCAAAATCCCAAGTGAAGCCTGTCCAAAAGTCACTATCAGGAAATCCTGGTGTCAGATGAGATCTTGGAGGTCGGCTTTGCTAACCTCGCCCCAGGAACCCCTCTGCGGCCCTCCACTTTGTGTGAGGTGAGGACGTTCACTCCCTCGTAGGGCCTCAGAGCACTGCTGTTGCTGCTATGTCAGAAGCAGTGCCCTGGAGACTCCAATCTGTCCTAGCTCAGTGGCCGGTGATAGCCCTGAGCCTTCTGGAAAGGGGGTGTGTGACCACAAAGTTTTCCTTTCTGGGGCCCCCTTTCCTGCGTCACCTCTTCTGTCATGGTCTTCGCAGCATGCACAGCTAGAGTGGGGCTGGGAAAGCAGACTTCAGGGCGAGTGTGTGCATGGAGCTGGGCGACTCAGTGGCTCCCTGAGGTTCTCTGGGACGTGGGGACTAACTGCAGTGATGTCTTAGTCTTGTTAAGAGGATTACAGAGGATTAGACCTGCAAACTCATAGGTACACAATAAATATTTATTTCAGCATGATGTTTCTTTTAAAATACGATATGTGGAGCTGAATATAATCATTTAAATGTGGCTTGATCAGTGAAGAGTAAGCTATTCTGTTCCTCTGGGACATGATCTTACTTCTGCATTTACGTAGCTGGAAGTATGAGCATTATCTTTCAGGGGGCAGCCAGATTATGCTATTAATTCATCTTTCACTTAAAAGTTCCAATTTCTCCTAGGTAACAGCAGTACTTAAGTTGCAGATATTTAAACTCAACTTGTAAGAATTTAAATCAGATAGAATTTGATAGAAATAAATATTCCTCTGGTTCGTGGATCATTAGTTTCTAGCCAGGCCTTAATCCTCTGAATTTGATCCAATGGTAAATGTCAGTTGCCTCTTTAAGAGCAAGTTTGTGTCCCACAAACCTGGTGGGTGTGTACAAGTTTACCGGAAAGATTACAGGGTTGTTAACTTTGTTGAGCCTTTGTTTCCTCTTGCATAAAATGGAAATAAATTAATAATAGTACTTTTTTAGTGAGTTGTGTAAAGAAGTTGTGCCCCTCTCTGGTTTTACTCAAGCAATTAATACAAATATTGAATTAGAACAGGACTCAGCTGAACCCTGCACACCGCACTTGTGGTCATTTTCCAGGCATGCAGGCATGGTGCCCTGAGCACACCCCTCCAGTGGTCCAGCCCACTGCTCAGTGTTTCAGGTGCGTCTGGATGGGCTTCGGCTCACCATTGCCGGTACTCCCAGAGGTGGGCTTCGTCTGTGTGTCTTTTCTTCCTCCAACTCAGACACTAGGTGAACAGTTACTATCTTTAATTATCTCTTAATTGGTTCCTTTGGTTCTTCCAAAGGTTATGTAGAGGTCTGTAAACTACGGCATTGCCTGAGATAATCCCTTGACAGAAGTAATATGAGTTTCCTCAGCTTTTAGAAAGAGTCACTGTAGACAACGGCACACATGTCAGGAAGACAGAGCTCCCCTTTCACATGAGGTTGTGTGTGAGCACGTATATGTGTCTGAGATGGGGCAACAGGGCTTGAATTACATCTTTGGAATTCCGTGCTCTTATCCATCTATTTAGCATCTCCACCATCCAGTGGAAGCTCAGGTTTCATATCCTTTTTGCTGTCCCCACCACGAGGACTCAGTAGGAAATTTCAGTAGCCTGAAATTCAATTCTAACTGGCAGCTCAATCCCAACTTCTACAATTGGATGGGACTGGGGGAGAAATGTGTTTTTATAATACAATGTGTTTTAGGGAAGCAAAAAGTACCCGCTCCTAGGAAATCCTAATGAACATACTATCTTTTTACCATCTTCCTGGAAGATTTTTCTAAACCTTAGATTAGTGTTCTCCTCGATACAGAAGTCCTTTTGTTGAGGAAAGTTGTGAGCGAATGCAAGAGTGACAGGCCTCTGTAAGGACCCACTCTGTCTCCAACTCCCCGCAACTGCTCCCACCTGTCCTGCTAGGAAATCGATCTTGTGGTACGGGGATCTCTATCAAAACTGATGCAATTGTTCAGGAGTCTTCTCAGACTGTGTCCACTATTTGAGTCCATCACTGTTAAATTCTAGGCAATGACAACAGCAATAGCCATGCACTGAACATCATATTTAAAGTATTCTAGGTGAGAAGTGACAGTATACAACCTTTGGTCCCCATAGCAGTAGATCTGAAGCTTCTCAGTAAGCCGAAGCAAATGAAAATGAAGCAGCATGAATGCAGTCCTGGAAGGGAATAAGAACAAATAAAATTTAAAAGAACAGGCTTGATCATGGAATTGAACATACTGACAGAAAATGCGACAGAGCATGAGAGAGAGAGAGAGAGCATCTCACCCCTGGAAACAGGAACTGAGAAAGCTTTACAAAGAAATCAAGGCTGGTAGTGTAACTCCATGGCAGAGGCTTACCTGGCATACACACGGTCCTACGTTCAATGCCCAGCCTTTCATAAATAATAAATAAGGAAGTGAAATCTACTGCCAAGTGTGCAAACTATAGCTGTAACTCACCACAACTCACTGTTCAAAACTTACCAGGCTTGGAAATAATATGTGAAAGTTCCTATGGCCATATCTGGCACATACTATGCAGTCAGAAGATTTTAGTTCTTTTCCATTTCTGTTGTAGACATCAGTGTACATTTGTTCTCATGCTTGAAATGCCCCTTTTTTTTTTTGAGGCATGATCTTACTATGTGCTGCAGGCTAGCCTTGAACTCAGTTAAATACCCCAGCCTGGCCTCAAACTCACAGTGATCCTCCTGCCTCAGCCTCCCAAGTACTGAGAACAAAGGCATATATCATCATGCCTGATTTGAAACTGACTTTTGAGGTTCTAGCAAGAGACTTAATTTTAAAGGACTGCAGCCTGTTAACCAGTCCTAATACCCCAATTTACATTTTTACTCTCCTGAAAAGTGAGTATTTTAACATAAATTCAATCCAATAGAAAAGATTTACAGGCCCCTAATGTCTCTGTGATTATAGCTTTTAGTCTCTTTAACTATAGCATTCTCAGGTTTTTTGTGGATCTCAAGTTTATTAAACAGTTTAATTGCTTAGCAATTTCCTTTTTGTGGTTCATCCCCTACATGTTTCATCTTCCTGTAAGTGGTGAGGCGTAGGAACATCATGAGATTACTCCAAGGAGGCTAACACGGCCTCCTGCCTCCTTCTCCTCTGCACGGGCACCAAGCTTGGCACACTTCACTTAATTGTTCCTTCACGACCAATATGTCTACAGGTAACAATGCTTTGTGAGAGGTCACTGTAGACCAGAGAGGCAAGGTTCTCCTTACTTCCTGGCTGCTAACTAGGAACAAAACAAAACACCCTGAAACCATAGAAATAACACTTATGAATCACCATTACTTGAGACCAATTTTGTTAGGAACCTTGTTAACTTTATGAAGGACAAACCTTTACATTTACAGACTGTAGCTAAGGTTCATTCTTAAAAGTAGCTGGATTGAAATGGTAATAATTACACAGCAAAAACTCTGCTCTAGAAACTGTTTTGCTTAGAGAATATTATATTCCTGTGTTGGACCAATTGTGTATTGTCAAAATGTAGACTTAGTTATTTCATAAAATATTCTGGAGAATAGCTGTAATTCTACAGTTCCCTATTTCTTTGAAGTTGATGACAAGGAGAAAGAGCTGGCTCCTGCCGTGCGAGTGACACCAGCAGTGTGTGCAACGAGGCACCACGGCCTGAAGGCTCGGGGAGGAAGCACGGCCATGCCGTGGTCACCGGACAGGTGGACAGGTCAGAGAAGCACGTCTGCGGTTTGGGTCACCCAAGCTGGCCTGCACGTGGAGCACCTTGATTCCTCTACTTGGGCTGCTGCCTTCACCTGTGACAGAAGGCCCTGTACGGGAAGGGTTCATGTGCCATCTCAGGTCGTCTGTACTCCAGCGGCTTTGGGCCTTGTTCTACCTGGTTTCTCATACTGCCAGCACCAGTTCTTCTTTTCGGGTATAGTAGCTTTGGGGAAATCCTCTACAGCAGATCTTCCTCCTCAAAATTACCCTGGCAGGTAATTTGTACCACTAAGGTAACCAAGTATCTTGGTTTATTGGAGACTGTGCCAATTTTAGCAATGAATGTTTTGGGGTCTAGGACCCCCCCAGTGCCACCCCAACTTGAGCAAGCCAGGACTGCTGCTCACCCTGAGCCTGATTTATCTTGTGTCAAAAGAACGACTCAGTTAAGGGAAGACAGTGACAGCTGGCCCGCTGTTTGTTTCAGGTGTGTGGGCCGATGCCTTGAGATGACCTGGAAGTGCTGTCCTAGAGTCCCACCACTCCTCTGCGAGTGGCAGAGACAAGGGAGGCTTCTCCGCCCAGGAAATGGAGGTCTCAGAAACTAGGCCTCTTGTGCCTAGCACGGGAGAGAAGAGGGAGACCTAGAACCTGGGAGCTCTGAGCTGGAAACGGTGTGCTCCCACCGGCAGCAAGAGCCCTGCTACCCTGTCTGAAAGAAGCACACTTTGGGGACCACCCACCTGAAGGTGCTTGGTGACTTCACCCCTTCTTTTCACCAGCATTTGGTAAGCTGGGCTGGGTGGTGACTCTTGCTGTAGGAAGCCAGAAGGTCACACATTTCTGGTTTCAGCCTCACTCCTGAAACTGTAAACAGAGACTCTTCTGCAGGGAAGAAAAGAGAAAAGCATTGACACATGATGTGGGACCTTCCGCAGGATAATATTTATGTCAATCGTAGTAATTGTCACCCAAAAGACATCAAACTGTGAGCCCGACTGATTTACTAGTAATTCATAAGGACTCATTGGTGACTCAGCTCACTGAACTTCTATTAGCGCTCAGTGTTTGCTATTTAGCAGAGTTCAGCACGTTTACCACAGGAGCACTCAAGCTAGGCGCTGTGCCGGGTGTTCATATGGTAAAAACAGTAACATAACTGGGGTGTGCGCACAAGCAAAGGCCAACAGTGAGGTGCAAACAAAGAAGTGTGATCTCCCCTCTCCGTGATCCTCTGTGGAGCACAGAGAAGCCAGGCAAGGTGCCCTGTGGGTGCTGGAAAAGGAGTGCGCTCACTGGTGAAGGGCATCTGGGGAGGGCGCCTGCCTGTGGTTGGGGTGAACAGAGGCAGGAGGGGAAAGTGTTTGTGAGAGCCATGAGGACTGTGCAAGACTAGAGCTCGGCAGATGAGAAGCTAACGCCAAAATAAGGCTGGAGCCGACGGTGATGGGAGTGTAGTCCCCACAGGCGAAGCAACGTGCCTCGTGCTGGGCTAGATGTGATTTGGGAAGTTTTAAGAACCCATCCGGTGCATTAAGCAATCTACTTAGACAGACTCGAAAGTATAACTTTGTCAATTAAAAAATAACATGAAGTAATACTTGTGTATATGTATACATCACTTTTAACTCATGTAGACGCTCCTAGACTTAGCATGGGGTTAACTCCATTAAAAGTTGAAAAAAGTGTAAGTCTCTAGGCAAAATCTTTACCTCTGGAAGAGGAAGAAAGAAAAGGAAAGGAAGAGTCTAATTTTTTAAAAGCGTGTAAGGCAGCTAACCTACCAAACATGAGAGCACAGTGACAGTCCACAGCGTACTGTGGAACATCAGCTGCTCCCCTCAGGCCTGCAAGGGTGACTGGCAGCGATGGCTCTCTGTGCTGGGCCAGTGTGGACAGAGAGTATCATTAGCTTGAGGTTAGATCAAAATTCAAATTCAAAGTACGATCATCCTTTGGTTCCAGGAGCCTTGCAGATGCCCAAATCCAATTATGCTCAAGTCCTTTAAATGAAATCACAGAGTATCTGTACATATGCCACGCAATCCCTGCCCTCCTGCCTTATTTACTTATTTATTTTTGAGATAGGGTCTCCCTATGTGGTCTAAACTTGTCTAATCTGGTCTCAAGCTTGCAGCTATCTGGCTGTACCAACCTCCCCAGTGCTGGAATTACAGGTGTGTACACCACACCGAGTGCCTCCTGCATACTTTAAATCACCTCTAGTTACCTGTAATATCTAATATAATGCACTATGTAAATAGCTGTTGCATTGTTTAGGGAATAATGGGATAAAAACCAGTCAGTATATATTTAGTCCTAATGCATTTTTTCCTGAATATTTTTGTTTTTCTTGACTGGTGAAAAACTCACAGCTGAGGAATCTTTTGTGGGGAGTGGCTGAAGCTGGAGATCAATCACATGTGTGGGACTGGCTGTTTGAGAAAAAGCAGTGGCCAAGGTGAGCCATGTGAGCAACCTGCTCCAGCTCCAAGAATGTGAGGTGCCCCGAGCCTGCCATGCAAACAGGTTGCTAGGCAGAGGGGTTCCATGCGACGTTAACATGCTGAATGTATAAATAAACGAGCTGCAGTAGTTGAGCAGTTCATTCTCTCCCTGGGGAGAGGGCTCTATTGGACCTCAGCTTTCTGTATTCTGACTCTCATCTTTATTCCTCCATCCTCCCACAATCCTTCCGCCAGGAACTTTGAGAGCTGCTTTGGACGTGGCATACTGGCATCCAAACAGGACTGGGGTACGAAGAAACAGCAGGTAATAGGACATTTCTCATTGTGTGATAGAAAGGGGAGAAGTGACTGATAGAATCAATATTGATCACAGAAGTGTGTTGATATTAATATCATCAGATGTAAAAAGTGAGGCAAACAGGTTCTCAAGAAACACAAAAATGCTTGTTGTGTTGATTCCTATATTTACTTTCTTTTTGTGGATTTGGATTAGAGAGTGTCTTAATGGTCCCACGCTTGTTGAGATGATCACAGAGGATTTGGCTCAGACAACTATTGTAAAATCAGGTTCTGAGCGGGGAAAAGATGGTGGAACAACAGCCCCTCCCACAGAGTTTAAGTCCTCTAGTTTTGCTCAGTTTAGTTAAGGAGTGAGCAGTTGAGGGACAAAAAAGACTTCTCCACTAGGGGAATGTTTCACTGTAATTCCATTTCACGATGCCTGAGAACCTTAACTGAACCATAAGTGGAAATTTCTTCGTTTCAGTTTTGGGAAATTTTGCTGCATCGCAGGCTGGGATTTCCACTCTTCATAAAATACAGTCATCCTTTAAGCTAACTTTTCAACAATTGACCTTGCAAAATGCAAATAAATGCTACACTGGCCCCACATGTATCTGGGGGCTACCTATAACTCAGGCTATTCATCCACAGTCTAGAGGGAAGAGAAAGAACAAGGTTACTTGTTTTAGCTGCAGGGGTGGAGGACATTTTATCTGAGATTGCTCTGCTGCACCTGTAAAGAACGGCACAACAATTATCTGTCCCTTCAACAAAACCTTCACGTATCTGTACAAAGTGTTGATGAGAGTGTCATTGGGAAAATGAGTGAAAGTCCAAAATTGATGTGGAAAGTCAACCTGTTCAGGAAACTTCCAGCAGGGCCTGCTTCAGTCTCGCCATGGTGCAGAGAGCTTCCTTGAGACAGCACAGCCCATCCTAACGCAGTCTAGGGGGCTTTTGGGAATCTGTGCTGTGCAGTTGATGACTACAGCACTGTGGGCTGAGATGGGTGGGTGGAGGGACAATAGCCCAGCTGGCCCTGACTGTGTGCTGCAGTATGAACTCTGCTGGGGTCCCACTGAGCCTTTAAACTGCTAGCTGGTCCACACCACAGCACTTGCCTCACACTTAGCCCAAGGCTGTGGGGGCTACAACGGCCCTAATCAGGGGAGGAATAAAAGGCAGCCTTGGCTGCTTAGGTGGCAACTGCCACATCCCCTGGGGATCGGGTGCTATAGATGGAGCTCATTCTCAGAGGTGAGCAGGAGTCCCAGTGCCCGAATACAGGATATAGGTTTCTTTTCTGCACAAAGGACCAAATTGCTGGCTTCTCTATGGACCTTGCAAAATTATTCAATTAACCTCTTTTCAGATGGTACTTATGTATAGGCCTTCCAAAATATAAAACAGGAATTATTTATGGTGACAGATTTTTCTTTCAGATTCAGATGTCTGCCTTTAACAAAAACTTATGAGATGTGCATCCTAATAAGGTCAGCAAGTTAGGTAAGAGCTTCTTATGTACTAGATCGGGATGGCTGACTAAGAGGGCTATTTATGTCAACAGGAAAATTCAGGTGTGTTACAGAAATGTCATCATGATTGTCATGCTACGATATTATGTATGGCTGCGGATTTCTAATTTTATGTGCAAAATATATAGCTGTTGTCTGTTAAAATTAGACAGTAATTCAAATGCTAAAACATCATGGTTGGTAGAAAATAACAATTCTATTTTGTGTAATATTAAGCTCACTGCTCCCAATAAAGTGTGATGTCATTAACTTCTCTCCTGGATGTTCAAAAGCTGAGGTTGGAGACCAAAAACTAGAAAGATAGAGGGACTACGAGGACAGCCAATGTTTTGACCCTGGCTCGCTGAGGTCGGTGACGACCCAGGACATAAGAGAATCTCTGCTGTGACATCCTATAATTCAGTGAGTCCCCAGCCTTCTGACCAAGGAGGTTGTGGGACCACTGAGAAAAGTGATCAATGTTGTATGGTGTGCCTAAGGAGAGTCACTAGGAGAGAAAAATCTCTCAAGCTTTCACAGAAAGCAACTTGTCAAGCAGTGGCCGTCATTCATCCAGATGGCTGACCCTGACAGAAGAGCTAAGAGGTGCTATACATGGTTCCAAGGAAAATCCTAAGGAGACTTAACTGACTTTTATAGGTAGCAAGAAATTAATTTTAATTGATGTAAGCTAATTGATTAGCTTGGTCTTGAACATCGTGCAAAAAGTATAAATACAAGAGGTCTAAAACAATGCCATAGTAATACGCTAGCTATAAAAGAAACTCAAACACCTGATGATTTCCAGCCACACCAGTAACTGACTACTGCATATAGGGTCAAACTACAGAATGCATGCACTTAAAGTCCTTGGACTAGAAATCTTTAGCTTAAACGACTAAGTTCACTTGTAATAAAAAGGGTTCAAGAATGAGAAAGCTTCTGCAGAGTCCTCCAAACACAGCTCCTCCGACCTCAACTAACCACCCATCACTTCAACTATAAAACAGAAAGCGAAGAGCTATGGGAAGTAGCTGAAGTTGGAGATCAATCTGATGTGTGGGGGCTGGAGTGAGGAGACTGGTCCTGAGAATAAAGAGAGCCCCAGGGGAGCCACTCCAAAACCGAGGCACCCCAAGGCTACTCAAGCAGGCAGGTTGCTAGGCAGAGAGGCATCATGTGACACCAACCTGTCACAAAACCATGGTTGAGCCGTTCTTTTCCTCCCATCCAGAGAGGGCTCCGTCTGGCCTCAGCTTTCTGTATTCTGACTTTTTATTTCTCCCTCCTCCCACTGTTCTTCCTCCGGGGAACTTTGAGAGCTGTGCTGGGCATGGCAACCTCTGGGCACAAGGGGTGTATTATAAGGTTCCTACTGAATCTGATATGCCTTTCAAACCATCAAAAAGTTAAACAAATCATAAATTAAACCATTGTCAGTTGAGCACTCTGGCAGTGTGCGTCTATAAAGTGCTTCCTGCTCCTGAGCACTTACTAAGCTGGAGCTATAGGCCGCGGCCTCCACAAAGTAACTGCTTAGCATCTGCAAATGGGACAAAGGAAACTTCCTGGTGGAGTGTAAGTTTAAAGCAAACTACCCTGTGCAGCTCCTGACATACTG